CCATATATATATTTTAGTCATGTTATCGAAGAAAGCAACGTAAGTATGACACGTTTTGCGTAATGCACTGGGGTACCTACCCTACTCAGCTCCCTTCCCACAAGGCAAATTGATTAATTGAAATTAATTGATTAAACAAACATTTAAGTTTACACCTTATGGTGTTAGTGCATATGGCGTTAGTGCCTTAGCGAACAGCAGACCCCTAAACCATCCCAATAGTGCACTCTACACTAAAAACTCCCATATGCTAACAACTCGATGCTGATATCCACACGCTCGCAAAAAATGTTGGTTATTACTCTGCCATTCAGTTAGTCTCCAGCAATACTGTTCTAAGAAGTATACTCAAGAAATCACTAACATTTATTTATGCCATTAATGATCAGTCAACAGTCAAAAAACATTACCACGTGGTTATATGTAGTATGAATGCAAAAAAATCATCCTACAGCAAATTTAAACTTCCATGTTGGGACAGAGGAATCAATTACAAGTCTATGCTAGAACTCTTTGAATTTTAAGAGATACATACTGTACATACAAAAAGAGATATCAGCTTGTTACATAATGTCAGGCACTGATATTTCATTATGATAATTATGCTAACCTCCTCTCCACTGAATGCATAGGCTGACAGGAGTCCACCAAGAAATCGAATTGTAGTTTCAAATACAGATACATCTGATGCCTATGAAAAGTAAGCACAACAACTGGGTAAGTTCTGGGAGAAACTCTCTTGTTATTTTTTTCACCAAACCGGTTCAATGAAATCTAATCAGATCTCATGCATAACTCTCCTGCTTTTAAGCTTGAAATAAAATCCTCATCAGGCTGAAGTGTCTTGTCCTGATTTCAGCACCATGAAGTAGCTAGCAGTATGTTTGCTTCCCCTGGTTGGGATGCTAGTCTATCGCAAGGTTTTAACCCCTCTGTAAAATAAACTTAGTAGTGCTCATTTATATACTTGAGCATATTTTACTCAAACTGAATGAGTAAAATGTCTTGGCCAAGAACAAAACACAGGTGACTCTGGCCAGGGACTGAATCCAGACTACTTGATCCAGAGTCTATCATGCTAAACAATGAGTAAGTGCACCTTCCCCCATCCCCAATATTACAGCAAAATGGTTGAAGCAGTCTAGTTCCACTAATATAGAAACAGTGTGATTTTGTTTCTGAAGTAGATGATACTCACATGATTGAAGCTAAGAGACATAGCTACCCATTTCCTAGCACGTTCAAACTCTTCCTTCATGTCCATAATGTAAAGGGTGTCCAAAGCATCAACTATTGTAGCACCAGATGATGACGCCCCAAATATTGAGGCTGAGTGTCCTGATTTGCTAATTGGTCGTAATTCATTACTACCCCAAGCATGGTTAACATATCCTGTCCATGCATGTTGCATCATCTAAAGGAAGAGAATGGAGGTGTTAGATTTGCTAAGGCCTGGCCCCTAGTCTAGGGACCTGGGTCTTCCCAGATACCCATACTTCTTTGCAGGATGGCCTAGTGGGAAATTGAATGGACATTTTGAAATTTGATGGATTGTAGTGGAGCAGAGTTGTATTGAGGTTGTTATAATATCAAGAAGATTATGAAAGAAGTATTAAGTACCAACGAGGATCCACAAATGTGTAAGTGTCGATGAAAGACTTTGTATTGCCAGATTTCCCTTTAGCATTGTATTAACTGTCTATGTTTAATTTGTATCGTAGCAAATGGCATTGGAGTGACTTAAAAAGCAATCTCGAAAAGTGGGTCTTTGTGAAATCAAATTTCATAAACAGTCTTAACAACCTCTGGAGTTGTGTCAAGTTATGTCAGAGAATTTGAACAAAGACGACAACAGGAGGCCTGAACTATTAACTGTTACATGTATTTGCACACAATTCTATTTAAACAGCACTTACAGCAGTCAAAGTTACTACTAGTTAAGTATGGAATGAATTCTAAATGTAGCCAACCCAGTTACCTTCTCAGAATTAGCAACTCTGTAACTAACGATAAAGAAAGCCAAAATACTTTTAATTAAATTTCTAGTAGGTTGTCCATTCAAATTAAAGTAAGATTTACCACTAACATTCCAGTTTCTGATACATATAGATGTATAAATGCTGAGATTTAGCATTATGATGTAAACAAATTTAAAAAAGTCTAATTTAGAAAAGTCACACACTGCAGAGGACTGCAACAAAAGAAAATCAGCTCTTGAAAGCTCTTTACAGTGCGGATGATGATCCATTCTTTTAGACTAAACATACTGGAAGATACACTACTCATAAAATTGACATGAAACTACATCTGCAACTCGGGTGGCATATTTTCCATATTCTCACTAGTGAAGACATTGATGCATACCTGCCAACCCCCAGAGTATAAAAACCTGGAGAGGGCAAGAAATCTTTGCATTGTTAAAGGAGAAGGTCACTCCAAAAACCGTGTATTTTTTTCCATCACCAATAAAAAGTTCAGATTGAGTTGAGTTACTCACCCTTGTTTTAGCTTCTGAAGTGGATGCGATCCCAATGAAAAAGACGAGAAAAGTTCGACACTGGGAGCGCCATTTTGAAAGGATCTTGAAGGCCAGGCTGCATATCTGTGACATCATTCAGTCCGAATTGGCGTGAAGCTCAAAGGCTAAAGCTCTCCTTTTCTGTTCTAAATTCGTTTATTCAGTTGTGAGCTAAAATGTTGGGCCCTGAGCTGAAAAACCTGAACCAAAAAGGATAGGGAAAGCAGAGTGACTTTCCTTAATTTGCCTGCAAAGAACAAAAAATTGCCAAAGAAGTGGTTCGAACAGCTACGTCGGGATGAGAGATTCATGCCAAAAAAACCCCAAAATGTGTATGTGTACAACGAGCATTTCACAGACGACTGTTTCAAAATTGAATGCCAATTTGAGCTTGTGGGTGCAAACACAAAGAAGTAGGTCATTGAAAAATGCTTTCCGACAATTTTTCAACAGAAGGCCCTTGTAAAGGCATGCATTGTAAGCTAACAGCGCATCACAAGGAACGAAAAGAGGTAGCTATCAGTTATACTTTTCATTTTTTCTTAATATTTTTGCCCGGCAGAACTGTCATTGACTTGATTTGGTAAATATTATTTCCGCGCAAGAAATTGAAGCTCCTTGCTGGACAGGGACTCGGATTTCAAGAAAAAACCTTGGGGCCAGCTGGCCCCTAAGTTTTCAGGTTTGGTCACCAGCACAAGTATTTTAGTTGCCAGAAATTTTCAACCCTTCAGGCTTAATATATTTTCCTGAAAAGATGCTAAAACGGTGTGAATCACGGGTTTTGCATGTACATATCAGTTTGCGCTTTTTTTCTATAATAACAGGGAAAATGGCTGAATGAAATTCTATTCTTCATTTACCAGTCTTACCAGTATTTATAAAAAAGCTTCCATGTTGCAAACTTTGATTCATTATTTTTTGTAGACTGGCACAAGGTTTTTCGTGTTTTTGTGTTCATTGATGCATAGCGACTACATGCATTTTTTTGGGTGAATTTATCAAATTTCTTAGGGTACCGTGGGAACTTCAAATGTCCTGCAGATTTCTTTAAATTACATGTCAGACTAACCCGCTTCGGTTTTCTTTTATCGAAAAAGCATTTTTGCGATTTATAAATCTTCTGTGTGAACTGAAAACTCAGAGCGTGTTTAATAATCGGCCTTGACAGCCAGGGATGAGTTAAAATACTTACAAATTTTAAATGCTGTCTAATTTGATTTGAAATACATTGGGAGAAGTAGTTAATTGTACATCAGTCCTATCTATATATCGACAATTACCGATAACAAGTCCTGCAATAGCGAAATCCCATATCCACCTGTAAATAATATTTTGTCTGCAATGTGTTGCAATTTGGTTTCAATTTTATCGACACAATTCATCATTAATTAAGGACGGTTTTTTTTCATTCACATTATTTTTGGGAATTACAGTTGCTAATGAAAGCAGTGCTACGGTAAAAAAGGAAGCTGTAATCTTNTTCACTGGCTAAATATATTTACACGAAAAGACGCTAAAACGGCGTGAATCACGGGTTTTGCATGTATGTATCAGTTTGCCGCTTTTTTTCTGTAATAACAGGGAAAATGGCTGAATGAAATTCTATTCTTCATTTACCAGTCTTCCAGTATTTATAAAAAAGCTTCCATGTTGCAAGCTTTGATTCATTATTTTTCGTAGACTGGCGCAAGGTTTTTCGTGTTTTCGTGTTCATTGATGCATAGCGACGGCACGCATTTTTTGGGTGAATTTATTAAATTTCTTAGGGTACCGTGGGAACTTCAAATGCTCTGCAGATTCCTTTAAAATTACATGTCAGACTAACCCGCTTCGGTTTTCTTTTATCGAAAAAGCATTCTTTCGATTTATAAATCTTTTGTGTGAGCCGAAAACTCAGAGCGTGTTAATAATCGGCCTTGACAGCCAGGGATGAGTTAGAATACTTACAAATTTTAGATGCGGTCTAATTTGATTTGAAATACATCGGAAGAAGTAGTTAATTGTATATCTATATATCGACAATTACGCATGTAAATAATATTTTGTCTGAAATGTGTTGCAATTTGTTTTCAATTTTATCAACACAATTCATCATTAATTAAGGACGGTTTTTTTTCATTCACATTATTTTTGGGAATTACAGTTGCTAATGAAAGCAGTGCTACGGTAAAAAATGAAGCTGTAATCTTACTGCATGCTTTGTCAAGTAACGATGCCAGTCAACACGACCCATGCGATACGAAAAACACACTTACAGAGTCAATTTTCCTTCCGCTGGTTTACGCATGTAAAAGTTGTATATACTTTTTTCTTCTATCCAAAATATATTGTTTGGTTAACAACATCGTCATAAGAAACAACGTTTGTTGTACTAACATAAGACCACGCATCGAGATACTCTTTGTAGAAGTCCGGTAGATAAATAGGAAGTTTACGGGTGTCAAAATTGCAGGATAAATAGATTTTCCGCCAATGTCACCTAAGAACGCTTCAAGGACGCTCTTCCTTCAAGGACGCTATTGTAGTCTTCAAGAAATCGTTTCAATGCAGTAACTCTCTGTGACAAAATCATTGATTGGATATCCAGCATTTTTAGGCCACCGTTCTCTATATCATTAATAAGAGCAGTGCGTTTTATCTTGTCATTACCTTTCCAGATAAAACCATAGGGCAGTTTGTTCACATCTTTAATAAGATCTTCTGAGACTGAGATTAGTGAGGCCTTATACATAAATTTGGGGATAGCAAACGTTTTAACGATTTGAATGCTGCCGAGTAGTGTGACACCTTGCCACCTCCACATATTAAGAGTTTTTTTAATGGACTTGAGAATAGAATTGAAGTTTAAATTCCTTCTCGTTGTCTTATGATAATCAAAATA